TATTTATTTATTAAATATTTTGGGGTAGAAGGGTGTGACATGCTCTAATAAGAAAGTCTTGTGATATGAGTATATCTTATATGTTGTTTCATCTGGAATGACAATCATATGATTTGATTGAAACATCAAGGATAACTACATATTCATCTTAGAATTGAAATCAACTAGATATGACACATTTAAAAACTATACTTTTCAAAAATGTGTTTGTCATCATAAAAAATGGGGTGATTGTTAAATCAAAGGACAATCTTAGATCTTTTAGGATATAAGTTTTAATGTTAACAAACTTGTACATTTTTGTAAAAAAATATTTTTCAAGTCATATAGAAAGACAAATTTAGAAAGACGACTGGTTATTATGACGTGTTGTCTTTTAGGAAAACTACATCTCTCTAATACGAATGCATTAAATATATCATTTATGATCTTTAACCAAATAATTTATGTATATGTTATTCGCTAATTGATCAAAGGAATAAAAGCTTCTTTTCTACTTGAACTTCAACAACAAATACATATTTGTTTGTTGTTAGAGAAAGGGTGAACATATATCTCGAAGTGTGTAAAGTCTTAGATAAAGTAATTTTTGATTGACACACGCAACAATTCTTCTCATTTTGTACCTTAAAGGTGATAAGTAACCCTTTTGATTAGATAATAAGTGACAATTTGGTAAAATGTATTTAATGTTTGCATTTTATACACCAACGAACACTTCACTCTATAAGGAAGGAAGATAAAGAAAAATGAAGCAAGCTTGTTAGAGAAGATCAACAATTTACAACGGTTATCTTCATGAAGCACCTATGTAAAAAAGCTTGAAGATTTAAAAAAACACACATATATATATATATATACAAAAATGTATTTTTTCTTTTATATAACTAGAAGAAAATAGATATTTTATGTCTCTATTTAAAAAACAAAACAAAATAAATGAGTAATTACTTAATTATTTTTTTCATTCTTGTTATATAAATTTGTACTTAAAATTATTTGTATCACGTCTTGTAAATAAGATGAAACAATAGTGATTTCTCAATTTTAACTTTGTGTTATAGTTTAAAGCTTGAAGAAGCTTTGTTGAAAATAATACTTCATTATTAAGGCTTGGAGGGGCTTCGTTGTTCAAAGAATACTTAGATAATTATTCAACAAGGCAAGTCAAAGAATATTAAGGTTGAGTCAGAAGTGGCTTATGAATGAATACTTTTTTATCTTTACAAAGATAGTGCAATTTGATATGATTGATCAAGAACTGAACATAATCTCGGTGATTGAGACCAATCAATATTAAAATATTGTGTGTTCTTGCTTTTGACTCTTCTTCTAAACTCTTTAAGTTTTGATACTATATTGTTATTTTGAAAAGTGTTAAGTTTTCGATTGATATTATTCAACTCTTTTTTTAGTGTCTTTCTTTTCTTCACACATAACATTATGGTTAATTGCATTTTTTGCCCCAAACTTATATTTTATTGACAATTTTGTCCCCAAATTGTATTTTTGGCAAATTTTTCCCCAAATTGTGATAATGATGTGAATTGTAACCCTCCATGAAATTATAGTTGATATGATTATAAACACCCCATTTTAAATCTGTATTAATATTTATATTTCTAAACTATATATAAAGGGAATATTAAATGTGTAACAACTCTTGGTCTCCATTTTATTTTGAGACCATTATATCCCCATATTTAAATTAAAAAATTAAATCTCTAAATAAAAACAACTTACTATGATGTACTTTATTTTTATTTTTATTTTTATCTATGCTATATACCTATAATCTATCAATTCTTATATATTAAACCCTTATATATCTTCGGCAAGAGAGTTTTTAGAGATTTTTTTAACTTCTTATCTAATTTGATTTTTATTTATCATGATTATTTATGAATTTTAATTTCTAATATTTTAAAATAAATTATTAACAAATAAAAATAATCTTATACTACAATATAAATTATTTATCATAAATCTAAATGTAATTTATATGTTTAAAAATATCTATTTATAAAATTTTAAATATAATTTATATATTCAAACATAGTATTTATTTATATATATAATTTTTTAGACAATTTAGTTATATATAATAAATATTTAACATATAAATTACATAAAGTAAAATACTTATAATCTATAATATATAATATATAATTCTATAATTGATAACATTAATAAAATGGATACATGTTTTGGTAACCACATTTTTTTAACCCTTTCATCTATTAACTAATTTGCTTAATTGTTTCACTATTGTGGAATTAACTACAATTTTATTTTATTTCATCATTTATATATATATATATTTTATCATAGTGAGATACAAAATGTCTCATTTTTACTAGTATATATAAAAGAGATATCTCTTTTAGTAATTATTTTTTCTTCCATTTTAATATTTTTTCCTTTATTTATATTTTATGCGATTATACTATATATAAAAAAAATAGTTCTTTTGGTAACCACATTTTGGTATCCAATTAATAGTTTTTTTCTCTCTTTTTCTACGTATGTATTTTCATTTTACTTTAAAAGCTGAAAAGTAATTGCTACTAAAATAATTAAATTATCACTACAAGAAAAGAGAAAAAAGAAAATATAATAATTGCCTATTTATATTACTTTTTTTATCTTATTTTTCAGAAGAAGTACAAAGAATTTTTTTCATACAAGTTCTTATAAAATATATAACTCATATATATTAAATAATTTAGTACAATAATACAAATCTCTCTCTCACACACACACATATATATATATAATTTTTTTTTATATCCATGAGTTATTTTATAAATCATCAAATATAGTTTGATGGAGAGTTATAATTGACGACATTTTCAAAATTTTGCGAAAAAAATCGTGAATATATTATTTGATGATAAAATTTGTGAGAAAATTAAAAGTTTAATACAAAATGCAATTAAGTTTGAGTTTTATGTCCGCATTTTGTTTATATTTTAACGAAATATTAATGGTGGAGCTAATTCGCAACTTTCTCAAAATTTGGGAGCAAAGCTTGTTAAAAAATTTGGAACCAGAATTGCGACAATGTAAGAATTTGAAGGATACAAAATACAATTAAATCATAATATTAATAAATATAAAAATATCATATATTTAATTTAATTATTTCTGTATTTTAGTTTATTATAAAGTATTATTTAAAATATTTTTTTAATAAAATATTCAATTTTAGATTAAAAGAACAAAATAAGATTAAAAAAAAGTAATACGTCAAAAAACTCAAACTTAAAATCCTTTATATATTATCTTAATATCTGTTACTATAGTATAAAATTTATTGTTATATAATTGTTTGAAACGTTCGAAATTTCATCTGATGTGTCACACTTTTGTTTGCTGCTATGCACGCTTTTCTATATTCCTTACTCTGCTGCTGTGTTCTCAATTCACATGCACCTTTCTGATTCACACTACTGCTGCATGTCTCTTAATCTTAAATATTCAATTTTCAAGAAAAATAAATGAGATTTTGAGCAATAAGGTACTTACTATACTTATATTTAATTGAGAAGTATATGACAAATAGTTTTTATTACGTATCTTTAATTTCAAATCATATATTAATAACTACTTAATTTAAGTAATAATAAATTCGATTTTTTAAATAAGCTCTCAAAAATATTATATATATATATAATTTAAATAAAAAATTTACTAAAAATAATTAATCAAGTTTGTTAAAAAAATTAGTCACACCAAAAAAATTATATTAACTTGCACAATTTAACAAGTAATTTACTGTTTAATTAATATTTCAATAATCTTCAGAAACTAACAGACACTGTCCCTGTCATTTTCTAAAAGTAAGAAAGACTTTCATCATAAAATTAGTATACATAAACAATTTTAAACATTTTTAAACTTATAATAAATAATTTATATTATAATAAAAATAATTATTTTTATTTATTAATAATTTATTTTAAAATATTAATATTTAATTTTACATTTTAAATAATTATAATAAATAAAAATAAAAATAGATAAAAAATTAAAATGTTTCTACACATCCTTTTATTAAAAAAAAAAAACTTTAAAAATACTTTCATACTATAAAAGTTTTCATATTTAATACATAAGATTTAATTAGATTAAATCTAACTATATTCTAGTAATCAATTGATATAAATTATAAAAAATAGGATTAAATATGTTTTTAGTCCCTCAAATACAAGGTAATTCTGTTTTTGGTCCTTCAAATTTAAAATTGTTGTTTTTAGTCATTGTAATTTCAAAAAATCTTATTTTAGTCCTTATATTCAAATTTTGTTAAGAAATTTATCAAACATTATTGCATAAAATTTATTTATTAGTATCCCTATCAATGAAAATATCACATTAAATCCGGTTGATGTTGTATAACTGTATTAATTAGTCACTTTTAAATATGTTATTGGTGACATAAATGACTAAAATAATATTTTTAAAAATTACAGGAACTAAAAACAATAGTTTTAAATTTGAGGGATCAAAAATAAATTTGTCTTAAATTTGAGAGACTAAAAACATATTTAAGCCTAAAAAAAATAAATACTACTAATATTCTATAAAAAAGTTATTACAAATTAATAGAAGTATTATTTGTATATATTCAAATGTTTTGAAGTACTCATTGCTACAAATAAATGCTTTTAACAATAAATTCAAGTGAGAACTAAATTAGTAGCTTAGTATATATAGAAAATTTAAAATATCAAGGTATATAATTTATGTTTATTTGTATGCATTTCATATTCTTGTAATCGCTTTATAAACCAAACGTGGTTGATTGATAAAGTAAATTTCATTACCTATTCGCACAGAAAGTTGAATATTTATTTTAAATTCAAAGTTCATCACTGACAGCTTTACCCATGCAGACAATAAAAAATGACAACAAATTGTGCATGGCTGCAACGTGTTAATTATCTTATTTTCTCACTTCACAGTTTTGTGTCTCATATTTCTTGCATCTGTGTATAAAAGGACCAGTGACGTTGTGAAACACAACACAATCAGTTGCAAACGTCAAATAGAGTTGTTCCTGGTAATTTCTTTCCAGAAATTTATGGAATTTTATCATGTCCTTGTTTTTACTTCTTTTCACGCTTTCATGCATGCTTCATCATGTTCTCTTGACATTATAATTTAGTTGCAATCTGCACCTTCGTGTTCTCGCTGCTGAGTGTGTACTTTGGGTGTTCTAACATGACATAACTTTAGTAATTGTAGTTTGAAAAAATTAATAATTGATATAGGAAAATCTTGAACTCTCAAAGATATCTTAATTTGGGTTCTTGAGATTCTTTTTGTGAGTCATGCTTGATTATCATGTAATATTTAAGAATATTCGTTCATCTTTATTTCAATGATAAAATAAAATTTAAATTCTTAACTATACATGATAGATGCTACAATTAATCTCACACCATTATCTTTTAAATAAAATTAAATATTAATTCATACTGTTCATTGATTAAACCCACCTCACGAATTGAATTAAGGGAAAGGTTTAGCATCCTTGATGTAAAAGGGGGAACTGGTGAGTGTTTGGTGTAGTGTGATGAAATAGATATTGCACTCATAGGGTGTTTTAGAAAAAGGTAGAAAATATGAAGTTATATATATAATTAGATAACATATTTATCGTGAGACTGTTATACATAGGATTTAGTTAATTAATTTAGTTGATAATAATAAATTTATTTTATTTCTAAAATTATCTTTATATTATTTCTTTCTCTTAATTAATATTTATTTTTTATTTAATCAATTAAAATACATTTTTTTAAAGAGATTATAATTAATATCTTTTATCAAATTAATAGAACATTTTAATTAAGAATATTTTAATTTAAAATAATTAATATAAAATAATATAAATTAAGTCTTATTTTTTAAAAAATAATATCTTATAAATAATATCAGAGGTAGTATTATATAATCTTTTTATATTGAATGCAGTGTGAGGACATCTTTTATTCTATCAACTATGATTTAATAAAAATTATTTTATTTCTAAAGAATATTAATGATTAATTCATCAATCATCTATTATTGGGCCATTATCAGGGCCAGGGGTTAGTCAAATACATACGATGTTAAATGTGCGATATAAACGCACTGACATGAATTATATATATCTATCTATTTATAATAACTGTATCAAAGCTTTTGCTAAATTTATCATGTGAAGTTTTTCTAATTATTTTTAAAATTCCTTCAATTTTTGCATTTCATTCACTAAATAAATTGTCATATAGAGAACATACTATTTGTCACTTAATTTTATTTATAATTTACATTATAGATATAATATGTTGATACTTCATCTGTTATCTATAACATACAAAAATAACTAATTTTACATATTAAAAAAATTATTTATTTATATTAAATTTTATTATTCTCATAAGATTCTCCTTAATTAACTTTGTTATAAATATTAAAAGAAATAACGCAACTTAAAAGTTATGCATTAAAGAAGATATATGTTAGAAAAAATATCATTGAATGATGCAAAAATAGTTAAATTTTGCTTATATTTAAGAATATTTTTTCTTCTTATAGTAGAGAACAAATGAGAACAAATAAGTATATTATTAAAAAGTGTAGGAATAGATTATAATGACATACAAGATATGTTATTAAATCTCATTTAAAATTATATTAAAATTAGGTAAATTATATATCAAATGGATTTATACCCACATATTTTGTATTTATAGTATATCACCTTTTGTATGTTATATATTATATACAACATTTCTTATAGTAATTTATTTCTCTTTAATAATTATATATATATATATATATATATATATAATATTTTATTTTCAACGTAAGCAAAATTTTTGATTATATATATATATATTATAAGTATGTATTTCTATTTTTTTGTTTCCATCATTTTAAATTTTAACTTTTTAAAATTAAACTAATAACTTATAAGTGAAAAGGTTAAAATAAAAATGCAAACGTTATATACTTATATGTGAAATTTTAATTAGCAGATAATATAATATTTTTGTGCTATAAAATGAAAACAAAAATTACAAATAAATGAAATAGTAATAAAAAAATACCGTTTGAATATAAATTTTTATTTTTCTATCATGATTAATAAAGTAATTTTTTCATATTTTATTAAAAATATTGTAGTTTTAATTGTTATTTATTTAAAATTAAAAAATAATTTAAAAATTAAATTTGAAAGGATGAAAACATGAAAAGTCACGAAAAATTTACATAAAATAAATTAAATTACTTTTGTCTCATTAAATAATAATTTCCCTAAAATATTTTTCATTTAATGCATGACTTTTAAATTGCATCATTTTCTTTGTGACATTTATAATTAAGATAATTTTAAAAAAATATTATAGAATTAATAAATTTTAATGTATATAACTAATTTTCTTATTATAGGTGAAATCATTTTTTTTTTTCTTTTCTATAATACAAAGAGGGAGTCCATTATTCAAAATTTTACGTTGTAGTGTCTCTTTTCCCCTACGGTGTGTATGATGAAAACACTTGTCAATTATTGAGACCACAAATGTCTAATACATGACTAATCCACTATGATTTCAACTTGGTTGTGCTTGTTGTATGTGTATTATTCCATGTCACAATCTCTTTTTGGTTTTTAATTATAGATATATACCGCTTCTACGTCTTTCAATCACCTATAATTTTGTATTGTGTAGTTTCAAGACAATATTTTTTAGAGAAGTTGAAGGCCATTCTAACAAGAACAAAGATGGGGTTTACTAGTCCAAGTGATAAGGAAGAGATATCCATGATAGATTCTGAAAGAACAAAGGAGCTCAAGGCTTTTTACGATTCAAAAGTTGGTGTTAAAGGGCTTGTTGATGCAGGGATTACCAAGATCCCTCGCATATTCTATCAACCGCCTGATAACTTCAAGAAGGCCTCAGAGTTAGGCCATAAAGATTATGCCATTCCTGTAATAGACCTTGCAAGCATTCATGAAGATCCTTGTGAACGCAAAAGGGTTGTTGAGAGAGTGAAAGAAGCATCAGAGACATGGGGTTTCTTTCAGATTGTGAATCATGGCATCCCGGTTAATATTATGGACGGGATGTTAGATGGGATAATGAAGTTTTTTGAGCAAGATGATGAGCTGAAGCTAGAATTTTTTAGTCATGATCATAGACCCTTTATGTACAATGGCAATTCTAATTTATATAACAAAGTTATACCTAGTTGGAGGGACTCTTTCTTCTGCAACATGGCCCCTAATGCCCCTAAACCAGAAGACTTGCCATCTATATGCAGGTACGTGTTTCAATTAGGTCATATTTAACTTAAATTATTTGTCTTTCATAATTTATAGTAGTGTACTATATGCTTTAGGTTTAATTAATCATAATGAATTACTTGTCCAGGAACATGGTGAGTTTCACTAAATTTCCTATTTTTGATATTTATCACAGTTTCCTATTTTATTAATAGATTCAGAATTACAATATAACAATGGTATGTGATGTAGGCGGGTTGGACTAATCCAACCACATTTAATCGAGTGAAAACTTAATTGTGGCATTTTCATCTTATTTGAAGTAGGCATGCCATCAATGGAAAAATGAGATTCCCTATTGAACAAAATTGCTTTTACTACTTATGTTAGAATACTAGTAGTTTAGGTTGTGCATTCCGTACCAAATTCTTCAATCTAAAAATTACTTTTTAAGGCTCAAATTAACAACATAGAGTGCAAACTATCATAAGTTTCACAAAATTGAAAATAAAAGTATAAGTGGAGTTATAAGAAAAAATATGGTGAAAATTTATAAAAGAAAAATTAAGACAAATATGGAGAAGAAAAGATTTAAAATATTACTTGTTATCTAACATTTATTCATTCTGACGATTTAACTTTCATAACATTTGATTCTTTCCTAATGTATCTTTGACCTTGTGTATAATGGAATACTTGGTTGCTTTCCTTTGTTTGTAGAGACATATTGTTGGATTACTCAAGTCAAGTAATTAAACTGGGGACTTTATTGTTTGAAATATTATCAGAAGCTCTTGGTCTGAATTCAAACTACTTAAGAGATATGGGTTACAATGAGGGAGTATTTGCTTATGCTCATTATTATCCCCCCTGTCCTGAACCAGAATTAACTGTGGGAACTATAAAGCATACTGATACTGACTTTATCACAGTGCTTCTAAAAGACCATATGGATGGCCTCCAAGTTCTTCATGAGGACACTTGGATTGATGTACCACATGTACCTGGGGCTCTAGTTATTAACATTGGTGATTTTCTACAGGCATGTCTTTGTCTTTTCTTTTCATGCCATATTATTAAGTTTCAACCAATAACATTTTTCAACTTAAGAAATGTATGCTGATACTAAAAGGATCAATGCATGCTAATAAGTGAAGAGAGTATAATCTACATAAATGTAAAGGAGTCATGGAAGGATATTTTTTCTTTCTTTATATCTCTTGGCATTATCAATGTAGTTTAGTTTTGAATATCTGTTATTCAGTCGACTTAATCACTTTGGTTTCTTTCGGTTTATTATGTGTGATCATTTGTCAATATGACTAATTCACAACATTCTTGATTATCAGCTTATCTCAAATGACAAATTCAAGAGTGTTCAGCACAGAGTACCAGCAAATATTAAAGGTCCAAGAGCCTCTATTGCATGCTTTTTTAGCACAGCATTTCTTCCATCTTCAAGAACTTATGGTCCCATCAAGGAACTTCTATCTGAAGACAATCCTGCAAAATATAGAGAATATTCAATTTCAGAATTTGCAAATCATTACACATTTTCTTTATCAAAGATTGCATTGAATTGACTAGGGTGCGAATCATGTCACATAATTCTTAGTATGCAAGAGAATTATGAAATGGTTCGCCAAGTTCTAGAACATAAAAATTCGCACATAAATGTTCCTCACAATTGTTGGCCTTCTGAGTCTAGTCTATTATTCACCTTCCAAGTCTCATAGAGTGACTTTTACATTTTGTGTTGGTTAATGTTATTTAACTTTTTGATTTTTCCCCATGTTGTTTAAGGCTTTTACGGTTTTTCTTTTTTTTTTTTTTTTTGAATTACAAGTGTTGTTGTGTTACTCTTAACACTAAAAGCGTTGCACATTGATTTGATGAATTATATATATATATATATATATATAAAGAGAGAGAGAAAAAAAAAGAGAGAAGGATTATAATAACATCGGTGTAACTTTTGCCAAACATTACACCGCTCAATAACTTTATATTAAATGTGAATTTTGTAAATCTTACCGTTAAATTGAACATCCATACCACTTTATATGTTTATATTTTATTTTGTTAAAATTGAACAACAACTTGAAGGTAATCAAAATGTTCATATTTTAGTATATTTTGAAATGTATATATTACGTCAACTTTATTTTATAAGTATGAAGTATCAAATCATCTTGAATTAATATAAAATTTTGTATATACGATCTAAGAGTAAAGAACTTTCACATTTAATATAAAATTATTAAGCGGTGTAATACTTAGTAAAAGTTATATCAGTGTTATTATAACCCTTCATATATATATATATATATAGGAGGGTTCAAACGACACCATCGCTCAATAACTTTATATTAAATGTGAATTTTGTAAATCCAACCGTTAGATTGAAAGTTTTTTACTCTTAGATCATATATACAAAATTTTAAATTAATCCAAGATGATTTGATACTTCATTCTTATAAAACAAAATTGACGTAATATATTTATTTCAAAATATACTAAAATATGAACACTTTAATTACCCTCAAAAGTTGTTGTTCAATTTTAACAAAATTTGATATACATATATAAAATGATATGAATTTTCAATCTAACGGTTGAATTTACAAAATTCACATTTAATAACATTCCTTTCCAAGCATCAGTTCAATTAAAATAATATTTTTTTTGCAAAAAAGATCTCTTATTTACATAAAACTAATATTTTAACATATATAATACAAATACATATTTATTATGTTTAAATAAAATTTATAATAAATTATATTATAAATAAATGTCATGTTTATATTTAAAATATGTATAAATAGATATTTTTAAGCATAAAATTATATTTTGAATTTGTGATAAATCAACCTTATTTTTAAAATGTATCTCAATGTTTGATTTTCTGCTTCCTCCATTTAAATATTTAACGGATTTGACACGTGTCATGCCATATGTCATGTTGTCATGTCACGTGTTATGCTGTCATGTCACATGTCATGTTGTCATGCCATGTGTCATGATGTCCAACCATGTGACATGACAATATGACACGTGTCATATCCGTTAAGTATTTAAACAGGAGAGACGAGAAATCAAACATTGAGATACATTTTAAAAATGTGGGACTAAATTGATTTAACTAATTAAAGTGGGACTAAATTGACACTAATAAATAATATAAGGGATGAAAAATGTGTTTTTACCTTTTTTATTTTAATCTAATGATTATTATTAATTATTCTTATGTTTTTATATTAATAAGTGTTCTCATTTGAATCGTTCTATATATGTGTGTGTGTATATATATATATATATATATAAAAGGAGGATCTATTTATCCTAGGAATAAGTTTTAGATTTATTTTGTTTAATAACTCATGTTATACATCAAATTTTAACGATTTAACCGTTAAATTTAAAGTTTATAATGTATAGATTAAGTATATAATTTTTAAAAATTGACTAAAACCCTAATTTAGTTCCTTATAATATTTTAAAGTTTCAATTTAGTCTCACCTATTAAAAATGTTAGCAATGTTTGCCTTCCGTCTAAATTTCTCAAACGTCATTCAGGAGTGTCCATGTGATTGAGAATCACGGTATGATTGAGAATAACGGGCGTGATTCTCATGCTCTTACTTAGTATATTTTTTTATGTGATTAACACCGTGAGAATCACGGACGTGATTGAGAATCACGGGCGTGATTCTCACGACTCTTAAATGACGTTTGAGAAACTTAGACGGAAGGCAAACATTGTTAGTATTTTTGACAGGTGGGACTAAATTGCACCCAAAAATTAAAGTAAGACTAAATTGAAATTTTAAAATATTATAAGGGACCAAATTAGGATTTTAGCCTAGAAAATTTGAAAAATATTTAATACTTTATTTCATTAATTCAAATCAATATATAAAATACCTTTATGATTATTCATAATAATTTGAATTAATGAAACAAAGTATCAAATATTTTTTATTTTTTTTTTTAAATTTACAAACTTGATCTATGCATTAAGAACTTTAAATTCAACGGTTGAATTATTAAAATTTGATATAAAACATGAGTTATTAAATAAAGTAAATCTTAATAATTTGTGATTTACATTGAATTTTAACAATTCAATTATTAAATTGAAAGTTCTTAATGAATAGATAAGTTTATAAAATTTTGCAAAATTTGAAAGTTGCTTGATATTTTGTCACACAAATTTAAATTAACACATAATATACTTTTGTGAATCATTAATTTCAAATCAACTAAACCAAATACTAAATAGTTTTAAATTTTATAAAAAAATAGTAGAATTAATCTATTCATTAAGAATTTTCAAATTGACAATTAGATTATTGAAATTTAAAATAAATTACGAGTTATTAAATGAGATAATTTTAACAACATTTATTGCAAGAAACTCTTAGTAGAATTTCTTTGCTCAATAACTCATAATCCATAACAATTTTCAACGATCCAATTATTACATTTAATAATTTTTTTGTTTAGATCAAGTACACAAAATTTTGTGAAATTTGAAAATCATTAAATACTTTGTTAAATAAGTTCAAACTAATGTATAATACATTTTATGGATATACATTAATTTTCATCATGAACTATGATTATTGATTGGAGTAACTCTACTTAGGGTTATTCTTTGAGTAACTTTATTTCCTTTGTTTAAAATCATTTTTATTTGGTTATAACTATTTTAATTATTTATTTTTGTTCTAGTCACAAAATGTTTATTGTCATCGGAGCACTAAAGTACAAAAATTCTCATTGCTATGAAAAATTGTATGTCCTTCCAGGACTACCTACTTATTTAACCTAATTTCTCACTATTATCTTTGATATCTTTTTTTTTTTTTTTTTTCAGTATTTGCGGTATATCCTTTAGAATCTTATCAATGTGTGTCTTATATACTTGATATCTTGCATTTTAATTTTATCCCTTTATCCAAGATATCCTTTCAATTATGACCTAAGTAGATTATATATTTGTGTAAATCTCGGTTTTGAGCTGAGCTTTTAAGGTGAATAAACTAAAAGAGGAGGATGGTTCCGAATCTTTACAAGCTCAGTTGGAGACTTGTTAACAACCCTCAAGGGTGATAAAGCTCATCCCGAAACCTTGATCTTTTTTTTTTGATGAGGTTCAGAATTCTTGTAACTTGTTAAGTCGGTATGAGACCCAAGAATTACAAATTATATGAAACCTATTTTGTAGATTTTATAAACTAGGCCAGGTCTAGGCTGAGGAGGGTGGATAGTCCCCTAGTCTTAAGCCTAACAAGGTGTAAAGACTATTAAGTTCTGACTTCAAACTCTACAACTTATTAGGAGTTAGATTCAAGTTATGAAGAGTCATCTCAATGTGACAGATACCTATTGAGTATATTTCATAAATCAGGTTAGGTCCAGGTTGAAGAGGGCACACTTTTAAAATTGTTAAAATTTAATTCATAAATAAATAATAAATAAAATTTAAAATAAATGAATAAAATTTTAAAAAACTCTAAAAACTCTTTCACCATTTCTTTTTCTTTAAAACCTTGTTTGATTTTTACGTGACATGTGAAGCGGTGTGTGAACTCGGACTGGTTTGATTTGTGAAACCTCTTTGCTGCTGTTATGCACGCTTTCCCATATGTCACTGCGTACCCATGTTGCTTTCTGGCTTTTGGATCTACCTGCTGTTGCTTTGCATGCCTTTGGCTTCATCTATCTTAAAATTTCACAAAAGTTAATGAGTGCTACTGCTAGAGCCTCTGCCATCCGCTAAACATAAATATTTAATTCATAAATACATGCATAACTAAATTTTAATATATTTTTCATTTAAAATTATATATTTAATTATATTTTACGTTTCAAATTAACAACTTACTGATTCACTATTTATTTAATTATTGTGCCTAATTAGATGTTGATTGATATTTTAATTAGAAATTTATTCCAATTAATTAAAAAAAGTTTGACTTACTTTCGCAGCTAACCCGCCATCATAAATAAGAAATAATATATACTTTTTGTCATAACCTGAATTATCGAACAGAAATTTCGGAGGTATTACACTAAATATAACTTATGTAATGATAGTTTAGTTTATGAAGTACTATACATATTTTTATCAAGTTTGATTATATAAAATTGTATTTTAATTTTAACTAAATTTTGTACTCATGATGCACAAATTTATAAAATATTTAATATTTTAATTTATATATTATTAATTTTTTTTTACCATTACTCATAATAATTCATTAATGACAATATTAGATAGAATGTAACTTACACGTACTAGTATATGTTTTAGTAAATCAATTAATACAAATTATGCCAAAAAATACTATTAAAATTCTATAAAGTTATTGCAAATTAATAGAATTATTATTTTCATATATTTAAAAGTTTGAAGTACTACATGTCACAAATAAAAGTTTTGTAACATTAAATTTAAATGAATCTGAAGAACTAAATTAGTAGTTAGTACATATAAAAAAATCTAAAATATCAAGTTATATATAGTTAGTTTATGATTGAGAAAATAAATTTCAATACTTATTCTCACAGAAAATTGAATATTTATTTTAAGTTAAAATTTAATTTTCTTCTATTTAGCACTCCTATCAAAATAGACATTCTTATAAAATTGAAGTATTATTTAACAATTATTTTTTTAAAACTTATAACCCACATAAAATGACTCATATATCATTGATAATCATTCTTCCAATTCACGTGACAGATATACCCATGCAGACAACAAAAGATGACAACAAATTGTGCATGGCTGCCACGTGCTAATTATCTTAACTTCTCAGTTCACAGTTTTCTCTCTCATATTTCTTGCACCTGTGTATAATAAGCAGTTACAGGGACACTGGTGAACACATAACACAAGCAGTTGCAAACATCAAATAGAACTGTTCCTGGTAATTTCTTCCCAAAATTTTATGGAGTTCTATTATGTCATTGTTTTTAATTACTTCCTTTATATCGCTTTCATTTTGATGCTCCTTTTCGATTAATTTAGTTGTAATTGTGTGCAGTAACTTTTTGTTCACTGTTGAGCGTGTACTTTGGTTGCTCTATTGTGAAATATAATTTAGTAATTTTATTTTGAGAAAATTAATGGTTGAGATAAGAACATCTCTAACTCAAATATCTAAATATGGGTTCTTCACATTCTTTTTGTGAATCTTCGTCCATGATTATCATGTAATATCTAAGAATATTCATTAATTTTTAATTTTTTTAAAATAAAACTTAGATCATCATGAGTTCATGACATTATTATAAGATAGAGAAATCTTAAAGTAAGTTGACAACTCAAAACCTACTAATCCATGCCATGCCAGCACCCACACCTAAAATATAACATAAAAGAAAATTTAAAACAAGTGTATGGAGACTAAATCAAAACTCATAAAAATTAACAAAATTCGAAAATATTTCTGAACGATTCTGAAAAAACTCATCTTAATAAAGGTACGCAAAACATTTTATCAAATAAAATCACCACTATTCATCTACATTAGTTACCTTTACAAAAATATGTGAGTTAATGAAGGTCATCTTTAAATTTAAATTCTTAATTAACACTTTACATAATAGTTACTATAATTAACCTCTCACGCCGTTACATTTTTTTTTATAAATTAAATATTAATTCACATTTTTCTTTGTCATTCGTCTTTTCTGATCTCTTTTTTCTGACATTTTCTTCCCTTCTCACTTCCGTTGCATGCACTTCACTCTCTCACTTTTTTTTTTATTTTAATTTTTTGTTTTTGGTAAAAGATCGGGATCTGGCCAGAAAATATATGCTTTGATCAAAGCAGATAAAAGCATGCACATGATATGTTATTATGCAAAGTATCTACAACGTTATATTGAATTTGTCAGATGTCAAGTGAATTTTTTTCTCTAATAATGTTATATTTATCTTTTAATAACTTTTTATTTATTATAAGTATATTTATCTGTTTTTTCATCTTTTTAATTTTTTGACTTCTTAAAAGAAAAATGCAAATATTATACTTATAAGTGAAATTTTAGAAGATAATAGAATATTTTTATGCTATAAAAATAAAATGAAAACAAAATTTACAAATAAGTGAAATAATAATAAATAAATATCGCATGAATATATATATATATATATATATATATTTTATTCTATTATGGTTAATAAAATAATGTTTTTATCATTTATTAAAAAATATTGTAGTTTTAATGTTATTTATTTAAAATTTGAAAAATTAAAAAAATTAAATTAAACTTGAAAGGTTGAAAACATGAAAGGTCAAGAAACATTTAGATGAAATAAATTAAAGTTAATAAGAAAAATTAAATGAATTATTTAAATTGAAATTATTAAAAATGGTTTTTATTTTTGAAAAAAATGTTATAGTATATTCTTAGTAGAAGAACATTAATGAGAAATATATATATATATATATATGTGTGATGATGCGATCGCTACAACCCATGAGAAGGACAATTACTTTATTAAATTATTATTATTATTATATCTTTACCGTTCCACAAAAGGAAACTTCTTTTCAGACTTTTGTACGGACCCCACTTTTGCTTAACACAATTAAGACCATTTTCTCCACTTTTTCTTAAGACAATTAAGACTATTATATCTTATACTAAACATATATTACGTGACACTTAGTTTATAAAGTTAGTTTAGGAGATATCAGTTTTAGTTAATTATATACACACTTTTTTATCATATTTTTTTCACCTATACCACTTGGATTATCCAAAAAATTCTGTTTGTTGTTTTCAATTGTAGATACTGCTTTCTCACATATTTCGATAACCGATGATCTTGTATAATTGTATTGTGCAGTTCCAAGACAACATTTTTTAAAGAAGTTGAAGGTCATTTCAACAAGGACAAAAATGGGGTTCACCAGTCCAAGTGAAATGGATGAGATATTCAAGGAAGATTCTGAAAGAGCAAAGGAGCTCAAGGCTTTTGATGAGACAAAACTTGGTGTGAAAGGACTTGTTGATGCAGGCATTACCCAAATCCCTCGCATATTCCATCATCCACCTGATAACTTCAAGAGAGCCTCAGATCTGGGCCTTAAAGATTATGTTATTCCTGTTATAGACCTTTCAAGCATTCATGAAGACCCTAGCGAACGCAAAAAGGTTGTTGAGAGAGTGAGAGAAGCAGCAGGGACATGGGGTTTCTTTCAGATTGTGAATCATGGCATCCCAATGAGTACTATGGAGGAGGTGTTAGATGGGGTAATAAAGTTTTTTGAGCAAGATGATGAGGTCAAGAAAGAATTTTATACTCGTGATCAAAGTCCCTTTATGTATAGTAGCAATTTTAATTTATATACCAAAGCTCCAACTAGTTGGAAGGACTCTTTCTTCTGCAATTTGGCCCCTAATGCCCCTAAGCCAGAAGACTTGCCATCTGTGTGCAGGTACATGTTTCAATTAAGTCATTAATTCAACTTCATTTATATGTCTTTCATAATTTATGGTAGTGTACTATATGCTTTAGGTTTAACCGTTTAAGTAATCATAATGAATTACTTGTCCAAAAGCATGTTGGGTTTGACGAAAATTCCTAATTTGATATTTATCACAGTTTCCAACTTTGTTGATATATTTAAATTTACAATATAAAAAGGATATGTGGAGTAAGCATGTTGGACTAAACCAACCATGTTTAATCGAGTGTAAACTTGTTAGTGATGTTTTCATCTTATTTCAAGTAATTACATTTTAAGGTTTAAATTACCAACATAACTTTCAAACTACCATAAGTTGCACAAAATAAAAGTATAAATGTTGTTATAAGAAGCAAAATCAAAGCAATTATGGGGGAGAAAATTTTAAATATTGTTTGTTATCCAACACTTCTTGATTCTGATGACTTAACTTTCATAACATTTGATTCTTACCTAATTGTATCTTTGGCCTAGTGTATAACGAAATACTTGCTTGCTTCATTTGTTTATAGTGACATACTGCTGGACTACTCAAGCCAAGTAATGAAATTGGGGACTTTATTGTTTGAGTTATTATCAGAAGCTCTTGGTCTGAATTCAACCTACTTAAGAGATATGTGTTGCAATGTTGGAGTATTTGCTTTTGGTCATTACTATCCTCCCTGTCCTGAACCAGAACTAACTTTGGGAACCATAAAGCATGCTGATGTTAATTTTATCACAGTGCTTTTACAAGACCATGTAGGTGGCCTCCAAGTTCTTCATCAAGACACTTGGATTGATGTAGCACCTGTACCTGGAGCTCTAGTTATTAACATTGGCGATTTTCTACAGGCATGTTTTTGTCTCTCTTTTCCTCTCACTGAATCCCTTATTGCATGTTTATATTTGGTTTAAGGTTTAGAATTTATAAATTATACTCTCCTCTTTGATTGAGACTTATATTATAATACCTTCTCTTATATTTTAGAAAGGGGTTTTCTCAATAAGTTGATTCGTACAAGTAACACTTATTTAAGAATTGGTGTGTATATGAAAATAAAAGTTAACATTTGTTTAGGATTCAATACATCTAACAAAACTTATTAATTGGTATAAGTTGTTTGACACTTATGATTTTAAGGATCAAGATTTAATTTCTAATTTAGAAATAGAATTGTGAATAGAAATACCATTTTACTTTTAAAATGAGTCGATTTGATAAGAGAGAATTATACTTCTTAGTTATAAAAAAAATTAGTATATATACATGAAAAGAAAACCTTAAAGGTATTTAGGGGCTAAAACTTAAGAGAATTTCTAGTAGCACATTTTATACTATTGGTTGGAGTTTTATTAAAAAACTATAAAATGGTGAATATGATTTATTAAATATAAAGTGAGACTTCCAAATTTTTATTATTATTAAGTTTCAACCAATAAGAAAGAATGTGTTCCTAACATTTTTTTTAACTAAATTAAAGAAATATAACAAAAAGGACCAATATATGCTATTAGTGGAGAGTATAATCTGCATAAATGTAAAGAAGTCATACAGGGACATTTTTTCTTTCTTTGTATCTCCAGGCAATATCCATAGTTTAGGTTTGAATCACTGTTATTGACTTGACTGTATCACTTTGGTTTCTTTCGGTTTATTATGTTTGGTCATTCGTCAATATGGCGCCTAATTGATCATAATATTCTTGAATGCCAGCTTATCTCAAATGACATATTCAAGAGTGCTCAACACAGAGTACTTGCAAATACTGTAGGTCCAAGAGTCTCTCTATCATGTTTTTTTAGCCAAGCCTTTCTTCCAACTTCAAGGAGTTATGGTCCCATCAAGGAACTTCTATCTGAAGACAATCCTGCAAAATATAGAGAATTTTCAATTCCAGAATTTGCAGCTCATTATAGAACAAAATGTATGAAGGGTACTACTCCTCTACTACATTTCAAGATTTGACAAGCATAATGTGGTACAAGTGACTCTGACCTTGATCCATTGCCCTCGTTTTAGGAAGTACTTACCGAAAGGAATGCAATATTTGGAACCTCCATTGTGTATTTCTTAAGGAAGAATTATTGAAAAATGTGTGTGGATGAAATAAGTTTATGCTTTTGTCAGTAAAGTAAGGATCGTGGTTTGATTTATTTATGTAAACTTGGCTTGAACTCATTATGGGAAGCTTTCAAATGTAATATTGTGTTTTTTTAATGCAGGAATGCATAGCTTTCGTTAAATTTATGCTTGTGTGTGAGGATGTATGATTAAAGAGCTTATAATAAAAATTATTTTAAGTTATGTGTGAAATTTGATTTATTCTATTTTATTTTATTTCTTATAAATGCTCGAGAAAAGCTTTAGCCAAAGTAACTCTTATCCGCGAAACCCGAGGCATTATTAGTGTTAACATTATTATCAATTAATTGACTTTAGTGCTTTGAGGAAAAAATTAAAATATTTTATACATTTTGAGCTTAATGGTGTGTAAAACTAGTTCTCTTTCTTGTTATTAAGATTTACGTCTAGGGGAAAATTTAATTAAATTTGAAGTTTGAAGGTTAAGGAAGCCTGTTTTGACTATAATAATTGGTAGAAGTGATGCTAGGAATTGTCAAGCACAAAAACTGCATTGAAACCACATGATAAAGTTCTTTTCAAAATGACAAAGTAAATTTAGTAAGTGTTCTAGATCATGACCATTCGAAGGGATCTGTATTCATGAGTCAAAATTCAACATTCAAACACTACTATTTGAATGACATTTCCAATAAAACAGAATATCCTTGAATGAGGGAGGCGCGTACGTGAAATGAAAAGGTCACATCATTTTTATTGGTCATACAATTTCAGTTCTAGTCACCTATAATATATGAAGAACAAACTTGAATATAGTAATCACATTTTTTTTTGTGTTTGTTTAAGTTAATCATAAAATTTAGGTCCAGAAGAGAAATGCACCACCAAGCAAAGTGAAAAATATGACTTTCCTTGTTTTGGCCATTTCAAAATGGTGCTATCTTGTCTTCCCATCATAATGTTAATACTTTAGCACACTTAATGCCAGGCATACGTTTTCAACACTATATAATATAGATTTGTCATGTATATAGTATCCAAAGAAAGAAAATTCAAAGGTTCTTATATTATGGCGTAAATATATGCATGCAATTAAAGACACAAAAACAAGAGTTCTCCATTGTGTTTGAAGCAATTCATTGCAACCTTCTCCAAACAGTTTGGACTATTTATAAATATAATAAGACATTGACTATTAGAATAATTTGAAAGGAATATTAGGAATCTATTGAAGAATCCATCCTCAACAATCAACAACGGTAACTCTACCTCATGATAACAAGTATGGAAGTTATTTTGTTTAATGAGGTTGACATATGGAACATAATTTAAAAATTCATAGAAGATCATAATGAAACCTTATTTAGACTTGAGGGAAAATTTAGTACGTTGTAGTAATTTATCTATTTAGAAAGTTTTAATGGTCAATGCACACATGGCTATCTAATAACATGATATCAAAAAGTCTAAAACTCAAGATATTATTAATTAACAACACTTCAAAAGGTCTTTGCAAGTCACTTCAAGATATACATATAAAATAGGATAGTAAAGATGGGTCATGTGCTAGATCTTTATGAAGTAACAACAAAAGGCAAGATAAATTTCTCCATAGGAAGAGTTATATATTTATATAAAAAAGAAGATAATATTGAAGAAGATACGTACTAGGAGAGGAGCGTTAACTACAACGCTTGCAGTGCGACGACACTTGTAGTGTAGAGGAGCGGAGCAGTGGTGTATGGTGTAGAGGAAAACGAGCAGTGGCACGTATAGTGGGATGATGAGTTGAGGTTTCAACAAAGGGAGGCACAAGTTTGTGAAATGGGGCACAAGTTTGTGAAAGGGAGGCTTTGAAGGCTTTGTACTTTGAGTGAAAGGGAGACTCAAGGATTTTTTTTTTGGCGTGATCTTTATATATTGCGATGGTTCTCAGTAAACTGCCTTAATATTTAATAACTCAACGACAGGTAATGGAAATTGTCATGTGAACCGTTACAATGTTGAAGTGGAGACAGTTATAGTATAATCGTCACAATTTCTACATCGCGATTTTTCTATTTTCTTGCAGTGGGAGGTTTGATTCTTGTTCCTCGTTGAAATTTTCTTAGTTGATCGTATGCACTTGTTTAATTGGCCATTATGGTATGCACAATCAGGAATTATTTTTTATGGCATTTCATTGTCATTTGACATTAGCATTAATTGGAAGGAAGAACTATGAATATGATATTATTGTGTTGTTTGTTTGAAATTGAATGGCGAAGAACAAAGAGTAGTGAGTCTCAAAAAGCAAATCGAGAAGCTTTCAAGGTATTAAAGACTCACACCTCTCTCTCTGCAATGAAGGAAGAATTGTCTATGATTGAGAAAAATAGAACATGGGAATTGGTTGATCGACCTTAGGACAGGAAGGTTGGAGTCAAATGGGTGTATAGAGCGAAGCTAAATGCAAATGGTTCTGTCAACAAATGCAAGGCAAGACTTGTTGTGAAAGGTTATGCTCAAATCTCTGGCATGGATTACTCAGACACCTTCACACCAGTTGCTCGTTTGGACACCATACGAATTTTGCTTGTTGTAGCTGCTCAAATGAATTGGAAAGTGTATCAACTTGATGTAAAATCAGCATTTTTAAATGGTGTCTTGCATGAAGAAATTTACGTTGAACAACCTAAAGGTTTTGTAAAGAATGAAGAAAAAGACAAGGTGTATCTTCTCAAGAAGGCTCTTTATGGGTTGAAACAAGCTCCATGAGCTTGGTACAACAAGATAGACGACCATTTACTAAGCATCAATTTAAAAAAAAGCTTGTTTGAAGCCACTCTTTATGTTAAACAGTAGCACAATGATGTTCTAATAGTTTCACTTTATGTTGATCATCTTTTGGTGACATGAAATATTGCAAGAATGGTTGAAGAATTCAAACAAGAAATGATGAAGGTTTTTTAGATGACAGATATTGGGTTAATGACCTTTTTTCTTAGAATGGAAATTAAGTAAGCTTAGTATGAAGTCTTCGTTTGCCATAAGAAGTGTGCTAAGGAGATTTTGAAGAAGTTTAAGTTTGAAGAATGCAAAAAAGCAAGCACTTCTCCAAAGTTGTGTAAGGAAGATGGAGCTAATAAAGTTGATAAGAGATACTTCAGAAGTTTGATTGGTTGCTTGATGTATCTTATTGCAACACGTCCTGATATTTTAAATGCTGTAAACATTTTGTCCATGTTTATGCACTTGCAAGCGAATTACATCTTAGAGTTGCCAATAGAATAATTCGATATGTAAAAGGAATAAGTGATTTTGGTGTTAAGTTCTCATGGAGCAAAGAATTTAAGTTGACTGGTTTCTCTAACAGTGATTGGGATGGTTCCATTGATGTTATGAGAAGGCTACTGTTTTACTCTTGGATCTAGTGTTTTCTCATGGAGTTGAAGAAGCAAGAAATCGTGCCTCAATCCACTGTTGAAGCAGAATTCATTGCGGAAACAATTGTTGTCAATCAAGATTTGTGGTTGAGGAAGATTGTAGTGGATCTGAATCTGGAGCAGAAAGAAAGCACCAAGATATTGTTGACAACCAAGTTATTATTGCTATTTCACATAATCCTGTGTTTCATGGGAAAACTAAGCATTTCAACACCAAGTTATTCTTCCTAAGAGAAGTGCAAAAAAAGGAATGTGTGACTTTGATTTACTTCAAGTTTGAAAATTAATTGACAGATTTATTTACAAAGTCACTTTTAGTTAGTAGGTTCGAGCTTTTAAGGGAAAAAATTGGTGTTTGCAACTCCTAAAGTAAGGAGTGTTAGCAAAATGCTTCAAGACTGAAACCACATTTTGATTATGTTATTTTATTTATTGTTGCTTTCCTAGTCTTACGGAGTCAGTTAGAATGTTTTAGGAGTTTTTTTTATTCTCTCTATTCTGTCCATGGCTTAGCATTAGTGGAAAATCAGTCTTTTACGTCACCCAACTTCTCACTATCACTTCTCACTTTCTCATCTCACTCTCACTCTCGCGCGGTTTCAAGCTTCAACCATGGCTTCTTCTATCTCTTGCTCATAGCTTCAATGGTTGCGTCAACTCATTCTCCTATTGGATCCTCATATGGTAATATCTCTTGTGATTTTGTCTTCAATTTCAATTTTAGGGTTTGTTTTGTATGATTCATTTCTTCTATTTCCGTTTCAAACTCTTTCTCTATCTCCATCTCTTTCTGTTACAGAATAAATGTTTCGATTTGATTATGCTTTTTGTGTTAATCTTTTAAATACAAAATAGTTATGTTTGGAAATTTTGGAAAATTTGGTTTGGGAAAGGGAGTTGTTGGACTCATGTTGATCATGCTCTGTTGCTATGTTAAGTTCTTAAAATTTCTAATGTAGTGTAGTTCTTCATTCACAGTTATCACTTTGTAGTAGATCTTGTACAATCTATGAGACATGAATTTCCGTTACTTATGGCTGTTGCATTGCAAATGCAGATTCTAAAGAGAAAAGTCATCTTTCTATTGCGGGCTACTGATTGCAATCTTGCAGTTTGATTTGAGCAACTAAAACAAGTTCGTATTGTTAAATGTTCTAGACCACTAATATGTTATCAATTGAATTTGTTAATGTTGTTTAAATAGCTTTCTTATATTTAGTTACGTGGCATTTGCTTTTCACCTGGTTTATGGAAGTCAACATAAGCTAAGTGATGATAAATGTTAAATACAGCATTGGCTAGCATATCATAATACGAGCTAATGGTAATAAAAGTGGTTGGTTTAATAGAAGACTAATAAACAACAAAGAGGTTTTGGCTCCTACAACCCGAAAAACAAAGATAATTGATGCAAAAGACGTTTGATGTCCTGCATCCCTACTCCTTGACCGGATTTATTAAATTTCTCTCATTTCTGATCCTTAGTCTGTGAAGATGAAGCACCTTCACTTGTTAACTTAAAGCATCTGAATATGTGAGTTCAATCAATTTCCATGACTTTGATTTCCCAATTATGTATTATACACCAGATATATCATGAAATTAATATTTCATGAAGTACTAAATAACAATATGATAAAATTCTTTGCAAGACAGAGTCGTAACCTATACATAACTTTGATTTATTGAATTTATTTTGTCCAATAGCCAAACAATTTTGGCACTAAAACTGCGATTTGAATTTTCAATTTGCCCTTCAATTTTTTTATATTTTTTTATACAAGTATGTTTGGTGATTTTCTCATTCCTTTTTCTGCTTCCTAAGTGGGTGAAGGAAGTTCAAATAAGAGCTGAACTTTTCTGCTCAACAGAGAACCACGAGAAAGAGTGACAGAGGAAAATGAAATTTTCACCACTTTGGTATGGATTCTAGCTTTTTCATTGATGAGATTGTAATTTAAATGCTGAAGTGTTGATTCTTTTCTCAGCTTTTTGGTAGTTCCATTGTAGTTCATCACTTTATGGTAGAGTTTCTTCCTCCATTGGGAAAAAAAGGTATCTGTTTCTTTCTTACTTTCTTGATATATTTTTTATTCTCTTGAAGATATGAAGGATTCACAGGAAAAGTGTTTCTATTGGGTGTTGTTCAAAAGTGAAGTTATGTTTGGTTGGCTTGGTTTTGGTCTCTTCTTTTTTGCTTAGTTCATGTAGAATACATGTTATTGGGATAATACTTGTCTCAATTGGATCATAGTGATGGTTTCTCTAAATCAAAATCTTTAAGAATTTAAGGTTCAAATAAAATGAGTGGAAAATGAAATGTTTAAGCAATGCATAGCCTTCGATCATACTTCTTAGCCAACCAAACTGTCGCTTCTAAACTTCATGCTGCATAATCTTTGCAGCCAATCTATTTTCGTATTTCCTTTTTGCATTTGAATTTCTCCATGGTAGAAATTCTGTGATTATTAAGTTGAGTTTCTACTTCTCCATTTTCTTTGGCTATTCTTAAGGTGAAGAAACCTACTAAAAATTAAATAACCAAATTGATCAAAGTGGATAGCTCTCTATTCGGCTTTGCTTTGGCTCACCATGATGTTTTGAAATCTCTTAGAAAGAAAACAAAATGTTAGAAACCCAAAATGTTTCAGAAATTGAATAACTTCATCTCTACTTGTCAGATCATCAAACCACCAAAGCTATGGAAGGAATATTTTTCAAACAAAGTATTGTCTTCATAGGAATATTGAAAGAATCTACTTTCTATTTTACCTTTTAAAATGTTTGAGAATTTGGTTTCAAAAATTTATATATAGCCATATAGGCATAGTAGTTCCTCAATAAATTTGATATATGCCAATTAACTACTTATACAGTTAGACTTCAAAAATTACTTTCAGCTCAACTTTTCGAGAGTATTAACCTTTCCCCTTTGTTTCATGAAGGTTGTCTTACATGGTGCTATCCTCGTTTCACCTTTGGCCGGAATGTGGATATTATTGACCAAGGAAGAACATGTGAGTAAACTTATATCTCTAAATTTAATGGTTCCATTTTGAAGTTGCTTACGTTGTCTTCAACAAACCTATATAGTTAATTATCTCCCTCATAATTATTTTCCTAAAAAATGATGGAAATATATATAATTGCAGCTCCTACAATTGCACGTTTGATTTTTTTTTGCCCTCGGATGTTTTGGGTTGGAAAGCTTATATACATTACGGATTCAGAAGCAAACTAAGAGCCCTCTATAACTTACCAGAAGAACCATGTTCGGATTGTTGCGTTCACTATTGTTGTTTACTTTGTGCTATTTGTCAAGAGTACAGAGAACTTAAAAACTGTGGACTGGACCCCTCACAAGGTATAAATATAATTACTATATATGCACACATAAATATACAACTATGTGTATAATATTATATTCACAAATTCTAATTAATTACATGTATATCTATTAATGTTATTATTTATTTTTTATTTTATCCATTCTTTAATTGATTATATGTTATTTAACATATTATTATCTTAATTTTTTTATAGGTCACATCTAATTGGAAAATACCTTTGGCTGTTGCAACATTCATTTTGGCAAGTAACTTTTTGTTCTCCAATAGTTACCACAGTATTTGAAACTTTTTGTTGTGCAACTATTTGTTCATTTTCTCATTCAATTTTAAGATATATTTTCTAACTACCAAGTAGGTGCGAAGACTGTCAGCATGTGAAACTATGGGTTCTGCTACAACAATTTGCAATGATAATACTAGAACTTTGACCTTAAATCAGGTGGGTTCTTTGGCCAGAGAATTAAATAGTCCATAATTTATATTAATGCATCTGAATGGAAGCTCCAATAGTTATCTAATTGATGCAACTCGTTGGTACTTGGTTCATTGGAAAGGAGCTGCGGAGATTATTTTAGGAACTTGTACTCAATATGTTGATTCTGATGGTACCTTGAAATCTATTGAAGAAGAAAAGGCAAGGAACAACTTCATGTGATAGAAAGTTTGTTGAGGGAATTAAAATTATTGAACTCACGTACTCTATGTTAAAGGTTTTCTCTTAATAATTATATTAAAGATAAATACTATTTCAGGGATATAATTAGTGATAATTTTAAACAATAATTTGATAAATACCTAAAATATATGGATTATTATTTCTAAATTTATAATATGAATGTGTTTTAAAGATAATTTTAAATCTATTTTTTAAAATAATAAAAATGCATCAATATTATGTAGAATAAAGTGCATTAGTTGACAGTTTAGAAAGTAAAAAAAATCATTTTTTTTGGCAATTTAAAATTGTTATAAAATGTAAATAAGAAAAAAAATGCAATTTTGTGACGGTTTAAAACTGTCAGAAACTGTAAAACAAGTAACACATTAAAATGTTTTTTGTGGCGGGTTTAAACCGACAAAGTGATTGACGGTTATTAATAATGCGATTTGTGGCAGTTTTTAACTGCCAGAAATTACACATTTTTTTTTCTGGCCATTTAAAAGATCTTTACCAACACTCACTTTAAATGTCACTAATAGTTTTACCGACCCCAAATACACTAGCCATAATCTAATTGTCGGTAAAGATATTAATGGTCATTTGTATGGTCGCTAAATAACATAAATATTGCCACAAAAAATCATTTTTGGTGTTGTGTAAGGGATTGTAATCTAATATAGTTTGTGCTATTTTTATAGAGCTTTTTAATAAAATATTAGTATCTTCCCACTTTATATTGTTCTTTCTCTCTCTGCGTCTATTAACAAAATACTACAAATTGGTATATGGAGCTATAGTATCTTGAGGGATATGTGAGAAATAATAATGAAAGGAGATACATCACACACAACCAGTGTAACGACCCGGCTGGCCATTCCACTCATCAACAAAACACACCGGAAACACTAGACAGAATAGAACAAGTATATAAATATAGAGTCTAGAATATAAGTATATACATATGTCCCGAATCCGACTAGAGTTAGGGTATGTAAAACAAGAATTACATCAGAAGTCACTATGCCTAGTGACTAAAATAAACAAAACATCCATAGATGTCAGCTCCATCTATCAGCTGCCGACTCATCGCTATCCACCTTCTATCCCTGCTCTGCTCCCGTACATAGTACGATCATAGCAGTCCAACCACATGGAAACACAAAGGGTAAGCTAGCATAAAAAGGAACAACATATATAAAGGTTTAGGAAATATAAAAACTACAATTATCAACACTTCATCAACATACATTCCGCCGGTTTTCAACATTATCATCAATAAGCATGCAATGCGTCGTCACGCATATCAACTCGGAGATCTCCTACAACAACTCAGCCTTTCGGCCTACAACAACTCAGCCTTGCGGCCTACAACAACTCAGCCTTGCGGCCTACAACAACTCAGCCTTGCGGCCTACATCAACTCACATCAACATTCCAACACAACACAACTTATACAACTCAACATATCAACTTGCAACTCAACACAATTGTACATCTATACAACTCAACACATCAGCTTCACAGCTCAACATATCATCTACAACACAACACCACTTCTCAACACATTCACCAGATACAATTCAATATTAACAGCAACATTATCTACTAGACATCATTTCATAACCTTCCATTTCAATTCAACTCAACATAAAACATTACAACAATCTCATCTCCGCGCCCGGCGCATACGTGGTTGCGCCTAGCGCAGTACAACCAGAGAGCACCAGGGGGGTCAGCGCGCCCAGCGCAGGTGTTCCCGCGCCCAGCGGGACTCAATCAGAGAACCCAAGACTGTCTCGCGCTTAGCGCAACAGTCTTTGCGCCCAGCGCTGGCCGGGCAGAGACTCAAGGAGTCTCATGCGCCCGGCGCACCAAAACTCGCGCCCAGCGCGGGGAAGGCAGAGACCTCCCTTGGTCTCGCGCACAGCGTAATTCAAATTGCGCTCAGCGCCCACAAGGCAGAGACTCCTAAGGAGTCTCACGCCCAGCGCGACAAGGGGGCGCGCTCAGCGCCCAAAAGAAGAACCAAAACCTGCCACAACTGGTATCGCGCCCAACGCGGTCCAAGTCACGCCCAGCGCGGGCCAGCCAGAGACCCACATTCTCAAGCGCGCTCAGCGCACTCATCATTGCGCTCAGCGAGCTTGGCCAAATGGGGTCTCCTGGTGGCCACGCGCCCAGGCGCGAAGAACCGCGCTCAGCGCGAAGCTCAGCAGCAGCCAACCATTTTCGAAAAACTCTTCAAAAATCTGTAGAATAATAAGAGAACCCCACATGCAATCGGTTCAATTTAATACATTATCACCCTAGAGTTCAAAAACACCACCTTTTTCAACATGCAACAACAAATCAAAGGCTTTTCCCCAAATTTCTCAACAACCCCGCAACCCCAACAAAACAAGTTTCCTTCCGCTACAGCCACGGATCATCCAACAACAAGTATCTAATGAGTTTTTTTTTGAACTCGTCCACAGCCAAAAATAGTGCAGAAGAAACAAAAAGACTAGCTTCCCTTACCTTGGTCTCAAAATTTTTGAGCTCCGGGAGGCACAAGGAAGGAGAAACTTGGAAGAGATGGTGAATGAAGACGGAAGAAGAGTTCCGTGCGTCCGCAAGCTCCTGATTACTTACTCAGCACCTTGAATCCAAGCAACAAGGATGAGATTAGCCAAAAGGGAATGGATGGGAAAAAAGAGTGAAAGGGAGGGTTTGGAGTGAGAGTTTGGAGGGGGAAAAGTGTTATCAGATATGGGTCTCACAACCAGTGCACCCACATATAATGGTGAGGAGTAAGAGCTATGGGCTGCAAGGATGACTGCTCATCTTGTAGCATTAGATCTCTAGCAGTTAGTAGAAGATGACTATATGACATTTCTGGGCTACATGAAAATCCTACCATAACTCATACTACTAGAAAATTGCAAAATAGTGACCGAAATTAGTGACCAAAGTTTTTCAGTCGCTATTTAGCGACTAATTCTGAATAATCAAAATAACGATTGATTTAGCGACAAAAATAAGTCATCGCTAGAAAATCGGTCGCTATTTTGGTCGCTAGCTACAAAATTGTAAAAAACGTTGCTATCGAATTAAATTCGGTCGCTAAATAAGAAATTTTGATGTTTTTTAGCGATAGAATTGAATTCGGTCGCTAAATATTAGTTAAAATTAGCGACGAAATTGAATTTGGTTGTTAAATATTAGTTAAATTTGGCGACGGAATTGTATTCGGTCGCTAAATATTAATTAAATTTAGCGATGAAATTGAATTCGGTCGCTAAATAAGAAATTTTGATTTTTTAGCGATGAAATTGAATTCGGTCACTAATATTAGTTAAAATTAGCGACAGAATTGAGTTCGGTAGCTAAATAAGAAATTTTGATTTTTTTTAGCGATGAAATTGAATTCGGCCGCTAAATATTAGTTAAAAATAGGGATGAAATTGAATTCAGTCGCTAAATATTAGTTAAAATTAGCGACAAAATTTAATTCGATCGCTAAAGATTAGTTAAAATTAGCGACGGAATTAAATTCAGTTGCTAAATATTAGTTAAAGTTAGCGATAAATTCTATTCGGTCGCTAAATAAAACTTAAAAAAATTTATAAATTGCTTAAAAGTGATGATAATATTGTTGTTGAGTATCAATCCCATTTTCATTTTTTGTAAGAGCAAGACATTAATTTATAATAAAAAAAATATTTATATGCACTCCTACATAATTAATACCAATAGTTATTTATGTGAAAAAATATTTAGAAGTTTTTTTTTATGATTGGATTTTTAGGCATTTTTTAAATTAGAGTATATGAATTTTTTAAAATTTCTTATTTATTTTGATCCATATTTATAATATATATTTCTAACTTATAATAAATTTATTTTAAATAAATTTTTATATTTAAATTTTATTGATAGAAGAGATGTGATATCTTAAGGAAAAAAAGAATTATAACATCCTCTCTCTTTCTAATAGAAAGAGTACAAATGTATTTTCTTAACTATTAGTATTTCTTTATTGTTGTGTGATAAAATTGATTATTTTAAATTATTTTAAATTATTTAACTAGAATCTTATTAATAATTTACTATATGATTTTAATATTTTTGTATAACTAATATATGATTTTAAACTTGAAAATAAAATATTATGATATAACTAGATAATATTTTAAATTAGTATTTTATTAATGGTTGATAATTAGAAAATAAAACAAGGATAAATACATTTTTTGAATTTTATATCTTAGATTTAAGATGAATAAATATGTTAAGTTAATTAATAATTTATTTAAAATGTTAAAATTTAATTTATAAAAATAATATTTTAAAAGAGAAGGGTTATAATAACATCGGTGTAACTTTTAATAAGTATTATATCGCTCAATAAATTTATATTAAATGTGAATTTTATAAATTCAACCGTTAGATTGAAAGTTTTTTATTCTAGGATCATATATACAAAATTTTATATGAATTCAAGATGATTTGATACTTCATTCTTGTAAAACAAAATTGATGTAATATATATATTTCAAATAAATTATGAGCACTTTGATTACTTTCAAGTTGTTGTTCAATTTTAACAAAACTTGATATAAACATATAAAGTGATATGAACTTTTAATCTAACGGTTGAGTTCACAAAATTCACATTTAATATAAAATTATTAAGTGGTGTAATACTTAGTAAAAGTTATACCAGTGTTATTATAATCCTTCTCATTTTAAAATATATAAATTATTACTTAAACTTTTAAATTTATAATAAATAATTTAAATTGTATCATAATATTAATTTTCAATAGAAATAAGTAGATTGTTAATTATAAAAGTAAGCATATATATAAATAAAGATTAATTAAATACAATATAATTATTATTATTGGTAATATAATTATTATATATTTTTAACGGTCCTGATACACAAAAATGAGAAGGATCCAAAGATAGTATAAGTATGAGATTGAATAGTTGAGGATGACTTAAATCAATTAATTTGTACTACTTATACTAACAACATGCATATGCTTTTCGATAGCTTATCTCATCGGAACTTTACAGTTAAGCGTGTTTGACTTGGAGTAATATAGGGATGGGTGACCTTCTAGGAAGTTTCCAGAAATTGTGTAATTAAGGACAAACATGCTAAAAAGTTAAGTATTGT